TTAACTATAAATTAATTAAATATTAAATAAATTAAATATATGATAGAAATGAATTGTGTGATATTTTTTATAGAAGAAATATATAAATGATTATATGTGATAAAATGAGTGATAGTGATTTGACGTTTGAGTCTGACAAATGGATGATGAGTGATGTAAGTGATTGATAATGATTTTAAAGAAAATATGACTAAAATAAAATTCAAACACACTCCTATTTTATTATATAAATAGTAAAAATATAATATATTTGCCCTCATGTAATTGTGTTTTTGAGAGCTTTTATCATCCACTTGGAATGCATTTATATCCGACCAACATTATCATGATTTTCTTTTGGGTAGGTGTATTAATAAAATCACCTACATAAACACACTCTGTAATACTAAATATCAAACATTAATCATATAATATTTGTATTTTAAAATAATATTTCTTTTCCTTAAAATTAAAATTAAAGTGAAGAGAGATAAAATAAGATATGGGTAGGGAAAGGGGAAGAGGGAGAGAGAAGGAGAGAATAGTGAATAGTGATGTTGCATGTCTGACATTGAGGATTGTGTTGGTAGAGTTGCTTGACATTGAGAGCAGTATAGCTAAGATGATGTTTTTGAGCTTAAAAAAATAATTGGGATAAATTTTGTACCATTGGAAAAAAAATTGATTCAATTTTGACCTTTTTTTAATTTTATAAATTGAGAATATAACTTGCTAGTTGTAATGTTAGATAGATATAAACTCTAGTGACTATATATTATATAGTCGGTACCAATGATATTTGGATCGTGAGTTACTTTGGTGCGTAATATAGGTACAAATATGCAATACAATATATCTTCTGATACGTAATATTATAAGGGTAGGCTTAATTAGTCAACTGTTTTGGGTCACGATCTGCCTACTAGAGGATCGCTTTCTCAATATATATAATTATATATTCATTTATGCATAGTTAACTAATATTTATTTTAGAGTTTGAGTTATAATCTGAGATCGAGAATTAAAGTGACTTGAATCAGGAATCCATCCCATTTTGGGTCTCATGACCCCATTCGTGGGACGTGGGGTATCTACGATCCCAGTATCTATAATTGATACTAAATCTGTATAAAGGGGACAATCATGTTAGGTAACTCATAATCAACATAAATTTTTCTCAAATCCAATAAACATGAACCCAAATAATATGTGTAAAAGATGATTAAGGAATTAGATTCATCTTGTCCATACTAAATAGTTGGGATTAATTTTTTTTTTTTTGGTTTTTGGTTCAACGATTAAGGGTATCCACGTCAGCTTACGTGTACTTCAACTAATCTTTTTTCTGGTCTAATCAAAGGTAGATCATTCACACCGAAACTAAAATATTTATGAGAAATTTGTGCGGTCTAAGGAATTATTAAAATTAAAAATCAAATGCCTATTTTTATAAATCATTTTTGTTATCACTTTAATTACTTTGGATTGACAAAGATTTCTTCTCGAGATAAGTTGAATTCATCAATATATTTACCGGAGAGGGAGAGAGAGAGAAAAGAGGAGCATGGCAGCTTTTGCTTTTTTAAAGCGTTGCTCTTTTGTTTCTATCTTTGGGAATGACTGTCTGCTGAAGGTAGAGAAGCGTGTGGATGTTAGCTGATAGTGGTTTAGAATCAATAAAGCACATCCAATTCTCATCACGAAAAAATATTGAAAAATATGCATCAAATACTATATCAGCCAACAAAGATTCTCTCATAATGGTCATGGTCTATAGTGGTAGGAGGGTGGTGACCATACCCATCATCAATCTCGAGCCCCAACCCTTGAGATACCCAAACGCTTATTTCTTGAAAAGAGTTTAACTTTGAGACTTTAATGAATGGCTGAACTCAGAGAATGTTGGATTCCCCTGTCCCAAGCAAAACCAACCCACCCCTTCTCTCCCTTAGTTTATTCATATACAAAGATAGTGTGATTCACCTAATGTGCCAATCTTGTTCTAAGCTTGAATACTGCAAATATTCACAAGGGGACAACAGCAAGATTACAATACTATTCTCTAGGTTATAATATGACTAGTCAGTCACTCGTGAATTGAGTTTTCTTTTTTCGGTTCTACAGTCTAACAAAGCTGTCTAGACTAATTTACGCGTACTTCGATTAATTCTCTCTGATCCGGTAAAAAATAGACTATCTACGTCAATACTAGAAAATTCATGCCTGGCCCAAGAGGTTACCAAAAATCGAACCTAGAATGTCTAGATTTACAACTCATCTCAATTACCACTTGAGGTATCCTTTGGGGTTAATTGGTTTTTCATAATATGTGGGCATTGAATTATGCTTTGGTCTTTGTCTTAATAGATTGGTCTAAATTTAAATTCTGGGAGAAAGTATTGAAAAAATCAACCTATCCTATTAATTTGGACGAAAAATATTTCAAAGGTTATTGTTCGTCGAATCTTTAAATTAGCCTCTCTTAAGAAAGTTCTTGTGTATCTGAAACTCTGTGATTTGTGATTGATTTTTTACCAATTGGAATTTGTGTTGAAACTACGAGTCTAAAAAATGCGTAATTGAGAGAGTGATATATTGTCCAACTGTAATAGGAAATTTGATTTACCCTCCATAATACTCACATTACCTGCATTTCCATTTTCCTCCTTTTGAATTTACCCAGATTTCTTTAGTTTTCTTTCCACAAGATTAGGCCAATTATATATTCTTTTCTTTACAAAATCCTGACCCAGCAACAGGCATGCTAGTTCTCTTTTACACTACATACATACACAAGGTCTGAGTGCTTTTCTTAGGTCTGACAGAAGATTACTATGAAAATGGATTTCTGTAATGAAAAGCTGGAGGTTCTTTCTGAAAAATAGAGGTTATCACAATAGGGAAAAGAAAACCATTTGAGGGCTGGTCTTCAAACTAGCTTCATTACCCTGATTAAGCAGGTTTTAGCCCCTTGTGTTTGGTTCTTTTAAATTGTTAATCGATGGAAATGGGAAGAGAAAGGAAGGTTGCATTCTGGTTTGTGACATTTTTCTGCTTCTGGAGCTCTGTAATTTGTTTGCTCTCTCCCAAAGGTGTTAACTTTGAAGGTAAATCTAATTTCTTGGTGCTTTTTAGCTCCTAGAAGTAAAAAGAATGGAGTTTCTTCATCTGGGTGTTTATATTTCAGTGCAAGCTTTAATGGGTATAAAAGCTTCTCTGGAGGATCCTCATGGTGTCCTTGATAATTGGGATGGTGACTCTGTTGATCCATGTAGCTGGACTATGGTCACTTGTTCTGCTGAAAGTCTTGTCATTGGCCTGTAAGTCTTACTTCCAAGAAGATTCATCTTAATTTCTATACACTTCAGAACTATGACACATCCACCAATATCAATTAATATAAGGATGATGTGTTTGAACTTGTTGGCATTTGATCTTGTTGCAGTGGGACTCCTAGCCAGAACTTATCTGGTACCCTTTCCCCAAGTATTGGCAACTTAACAAATCTGCAGATTGTGTGAGTTACACATGATAATTGGAATTTTTAGATTGAAATTCTCTTTTTCTTTTACTGGTCTTAATGGATGTGGTGTTTTGGTAGGCTTTTACAGAACAACAAGATAACTGGACCAATTCCAGCAGAGTTTGGGAGGCTCTTCAAGCTTCACACACTTGATCTTTCTAATAACCTCTTCACTGGTGAAATTCCTTCTTCACTGGGAAATTTGAAAAGCCTCCAATACATGTAAGTACTCAAGTTTGTGAATATGTTAACATTTAATAAGAATTGCAAATTGAATTCAGATGAGTCTAATTTTAATCTAATGGCTTTAGGAGGCTCAACAATAACAGTCTCTCTGGAGAGATTCCAATGTCATTGACCAACATGACCCAGCTCACTATTCTGTAAATCTCTCCAACTTGTTGGATCATCAATCCACATTCCGTTCGCTTTGTTTTCTGTTGGAATTTGAATTAAGGATTTTCTAATTCTTTGTGTTGCTCCATTCAGGGACTTGTCTTACAATAACTTGAGTGGTCCTGTACCAAGGTTTACTTCTAAGAGATTCAAGTACGCTAATCTCACATTTAATTGCATTTTGTCTCTTCCTCTTTCAGAGAAGAAAGTTGGAATGTTGAACATTTCTCTGCTCTCTGTTTTCATCTGTTATTGCAGTATTGTTGGAAACCCTCTCATATGCGCAAAAGGGTCTGAGCAGAACTGCAATGGAATGACTCTGATGCCAATGTCCATGACCTTGAATAGTTCACAAAGTATACTTCTGAAAACATTCATTCTCTAGAATTACACATTTTTATACCAATTCCTGATGATACAATTGGGTAGTCTAAAATTGTTTTTTTCATTCCTATTGAGGTTCAGTGCAGTGGCTTTTATATGTCGATCATTCAGTATCTCTACATATTACAAAGTTTCTGACCTTGGTCTCTATTTTTTGAAGCTGAACGGCTTCAAGAGCGACCTAAGAGTCACAAACTCGCCCTTGCCTTTGGTTCAAGCCTCGGGTGCATCTGTTTGCTCACTGTTGGATTTGGGATGTTTCTGTGGCGAAGACAAAGACATAAGCAGCAAACATTTTTCGATGCTAATGGTTTGTGAAATATAATGAAGTGTGACAAAATAAAGCATTTTCAGTATTTTAAGATAGTGCATCTAGTGATTAATTCATTCATCTACTTGTACGTCTCTTTCAAATGCTAGATATGCAACATGAGGAAGTTTCCCTCGGGAATTTGAAGAGGTTCCAATTCAGAGAACTCCAGATTGCGACTGATAACTTCAGCAGTAAAAACATTCTGGGAAAAGGTGGTTTTGGACATGTCTACAAAGGATATCTCCAAGATGGGACTGCCTTGGCTGTGAAGAGACTCCAAGATGGCAGTGCCATGGGAGGAGATAGACAATTCCAGACAGAAGTTGAGATGATCAGCCTAGCAGTGCACCGCAACCTCCTCAGGCTATACGGGTTTTGTATGACTGCCACAGAAAGGCTGTTAGTTTATCCATATATGTCCAATGGAAGTGTTGCTTCACGTCTCAAAGGTAAGATGATGGTAGCAACATGGCAGAAATTTTGAAATGAGCACGAAACGTCAATATACGAATTATTTCATTGTTTGCTATTCCCAGATCTCTTCGTTGCATTCACTTACAACAATTGTGTGTACTGATAATTACACATTTCGTTTTTGCTTCACAGCAAAACCAGTCTTGGATTGGTGCACGAGGAAGAGAATTGCCTTAGGAGCTGCAAGAGGGTTGTTATACCTCCATGAGCAGTGTGACCCGAAGATAATTCATAGGGATGTCAAGGCTGCAAATATACTGCTTGATGATTACTGTGAGGCAGTGGTGGGAGATTTTGGCCTAGCAAAGCTTTTGGATCACCAGGATTCGCACGTCACAACTGCAGTAAGGGGCACTGTGGGGCATATAGCCCCCGAATACCTCTCAACCGGCCAGTCCTCTGAAAAGACAGATGTCTTTGGATTTGGAATCCTGCTCCTTGAACTGATCACGGGACAGAGAGCTCTTGAATTTGGCAAGGCGGCTAACCAGAAAGGAGCAATGCTCAATTGGGTGAGCACACAATTTCTTCTGTTTCTCAATGCATTTGAAACCTTCTTTAAGATCACTAAACTGTCCTAAAAAAACTGATCAAGATATACTAAAGCACATTCATTAATTGCAATTTTGACATAAAGTGTCTTTGTATTACTTTAATGATGTTAAATTATGATTGCAGGTGAAGAAAATTCATCAAGAGAAGAAGCTTAATGAGCTTGTTGATAAGGATTTGAAAAACAACTTTGATCAGATTGAGCTTGAGGAAATGGTTCAAGTAGCTCTCTTGTGCACCCAATACCTTCCAGGCCACAGACCTAAGATGTCTGAAGTTGTGCGAATGCTTGAAGGCGATGGACTTGCAGAGAGATGGGAAGCTTCTCAGAGAGTTGAGTCAGGCAAGTATAGATCAGAGCTGTCCTTCTCGCATCGATACTCCGACCTTACAGATGATTCTTCACTACTTGTACAAGCCATAGAGCTATCTGGCCCAAGGTGAATTATTTATATTCTTTTAGAACTTAATATAAATTTAAAATTTTGAAAGGAGAAGTTTGTAGTTACACATCCACCTGCAAAAGTCTAAAGGCCATTTAAATTTTTAGTTTGTATAATTGTAATACATCAGAGCTTCAAAGGGGCTTTGATGTTATTTGCTTAATGTACAGAATCAACTCAAATTCTGTCTTCTGAATGAAGAATGAATCTTCATGAGGAAGTCCACTAGAAATTGTAAGCTTTCGAGAGAGATGTTATTTATGAAGTTATAATCACCATTTGTGTGTTATATCCATGTCTCACTGCTACCAGATCTATCAATTGATTGAATTTTGATTCGAATTCGAAAGAGAATCCAAATTTGCAATCACTACATCACATTTTTATGGATTTGAATGTGGACATACCAATATTACATCCAATTTTAATCCAATCCGAAATATATATATATACACAAATGATTGATAAAAATACAAATTATTTAGTAAAATTTATGATATTTGCTTTTTGGCAGCATCTTGATGGATTCCCTCATTAAATTCTATCAGAAAGTCAGAACATCTCATCTTTGAAACATGTGAACAAGACACATTTTAACAAGCAAAAACTCTGAATATCTGCAATCCGCTTTACAACAAATTCTGGAACTTCCAAAACAACTATATTGGTGTTCACACTCGATGCATCAAAAAGAAAAAACAAAAAAAAAAAAGCACCACTTTACAAGTTAAACAAACTACATACGACACTGCTGCTGAGAAGCGAATGCCTAATATGGCACAGATGGCCTTTGTCAATGGTCGTTCAAGGCAATGAACTGCCTTATCTTGGTTATGAAGCTGCCTACTTACCTCTAAAGATGCGGCTCAGTAAGGGTTTAATGTACACAGCCTTACACCTGCACATGGAGAGAGGCTGTATCCATGGCCTTGGTCAAGTATGGTGAATGGAAGCATCTGCCTGTACTTTGCCAGTAACAGTCAACCAGCATAATCCTATAGTAATGTAATTCCATGTTATTCTGGACCCTTGATTCTTCTGATTAATACAAGAACGTCGTGTCCTCCTTGTGCATCTCTCTTCCCAGTTCATTTCGCTCATTTCCCAAATATGAAAATGACATCCCTTTAGGCTTCATATTCTTGGTCTACCCCAACGCCAACACAGGTAAATCCCTGGTGATAAAACAGTATTGGTTACCATGCATGTAAAAATATAACGAATCTATATATTCGTTAAAAGATTCCTTATATCGATTGAGATAAGATTCTTTTATATTTTTATATATATATACTAGCATTACCAATCATAAAGGAAGGAAGAAACTGTATAGAGTTCTGGATTGGGAGAGGAGGAATATTTGAATACGAGTTGTGATGATGCTCGCTCGAACGAGAGCAGCTTTCTCATAAACCATAAATCACAATCCTCTGGATAATTATAACCTACAAGCATCTTCTCAAGTACTGGCGAACGTGCAAGCACTAGCTTGATAAATTCCAAATCGGATCTCCAGCATTGGAATGCTCCTACGTATTGGTGACACAGCGCAATGTTTATTTTCACAATTTGCAGTTGGTTGAAGCAATAGGATAATTGGTTTTGTGCAGCCATTAACTTATAAACATCTTGGTTAAACGGTCCAAAAGCCTATACAAGCCAGTAATATCCATTTTCACTTCACGAGAAATCAAGCTGATACACTAAGAAACAGTGAAAATTTGAAAGAAAACAGTCAGGAAACTTACTGAAATGCACAAGGACTTCAAATTTGAGAAGCTTCTTTCAAGAAGAGAAAGAAAAACTGAGATCTCATCCAATTCATTAAAACAGACTTCAGACAGTTCAAGAGCCTTCAGATTGTCAAATGCAACGGGAAACCCCTGCGACAAAAGTCAGGACCAAATGCTTCAAAAGGAGCACAAAAGTATGATGGTTTGGAACTAAAGTGGCTACTGTACTATTTGGTTGTCAAGAAATCAGAAGAATATTCTAGTTCTACCATATTCAAAAAATAAGTAAAATAACTAAGGAAATCACACAAAAACTCTAATGAAAGTCGATTTAACTTGCCCTGAGAAGATGACCAAACGAAGTCAGCCTCTCCACATGAGATACAAAACCAAGAAGCGGGACTTTGTCGTGAGCCATGTACCAGTTTGGGTCCATCAAAAAAGAGAGTTGTGTAAGATGCAGGCTATTTTCCAAATAGACGGTCATGAATTTGCCTGACATATCCAAGGATTGAAGATTTGGTGCATAGATATGAAGACTACCGAAGGCACCATAATATGGACGGCCAACTTCAACACAATATGAAATTACTAATGTCTCAAGAATTGGGCATCTACTAATCAAATTTTCAAGCACTCCACTGCGGAATCTACACCTTCCAGCTGGAGGCTAACAAGATTGTTAAAACCATTGAATGTGTGTGGTGTTACGACTGAGCACTCAGCGATGCACAAACAACTCAGTTGTTGACAAGAAAATAAACAAGAAGGCAGCTCATATTTGGCCATGTAACATAAATTAAGACTGAGTTCCTTGATACCATTTCTGCTTAGAAAAGCGCTCCAAAGGTCCGCATCATTGTCATGGCAATATAACCGAGTGGAAAGCATGAACTTATCAATCCGGCCACGATGAGCTAACAAAACATTATACACAAATTTCGCAAGTTCATTCCAATGCCCAAAAATAGACACAGGCCACTCGAAAATAGACACCTTACATCTGTCATAAAATACAATATTGGAAAGATAAACCCATGTATATCTCCATTTTCGAGACAAGACGCTAGTCCTCACAGCATCTTTAATTGGTAGGCATCCTAGGATATTGTCTAATATATCCCAGGGCATGTCACCAAGTCTATCCAACATTGTAAGCAAAAATTGTATGTCAATTGAATCTCAAATCTTGTTCAGGCCTCTTCAATGTACTTCTTCACCTCTGTGATCTCCCACACCTGTCAGCTTAGGAATATAGCAAGACAATATACCCAAAATTATAAAAAAAAAATTAGAATGTTTATCTGTATCAGTTTGGACAGCATCCTAGATAATTCTCAGCTTCTTTGCAATCACTAAACAAATAACAAGTAAAACAAGAAGAATTGATATCTATCAGGTTTACTTGGAACTTAGAAAGTGATTGAAAATTACAAAGGATTATGCTAAAGTGAAACAAAATTACAAATGATTATGCAAAAGTGAAACTGCACAAGCTAAAAACAAAAGGATGAGAACATGGAGTCGAAAGGTGAAAAGGCAACCAAGATTTTTTTTTTTTTTGGTATTAAAAACCATCTTGCCATTTCATAATCACTTGATAACCCAGAATCATATCAAAAACCTTAAATTTCTTTTCTTTTTTTAATTAAAAATTGCCCATCTTTAACTGGAAACCCAGGATTGCAATAAGCCACCTAAAAATTCACTTTTCTTTTTTAAACATTACCCTTATTTAGCTGAAAGCCCAGGATTTACATGACCCATCTAAGAATTCACTTTGCATGATTGAATTTACAAGAATTCTTTCATGATACAACAAAGAAGTCAACTTCTAAATCATGGTTTCTAAAAATAGACTAGAATTCGAACTGAAATGAAAATTGTGAGCTGTAATGATCAACTGTGAGAAGTTAGAACTGCACTAAAAAAAAAGTGTACCTACAGCACGATGGTTAGATACAAGCAAGCCTTATTCCTGTAAACAAAGAGGCTCAACCTTACCATGAGAGTATCCAAAAAAAAAAAAAAACACTAAAAAAAACTCCAGGTGTATTAATCAACAACCATGAGGGATGAACATCAAACCTCAATTGCAAAAAAATATAAAAAAATTAAAGGAAACTCAGTTTACCTCTGATGAGTACTGAAACAAGTTTAATTTGCCTGTACAATCCGAGTAATGAATCGCCGAGATGGGCAATGATCAGAAAGGGAGGACGACGAAGCAAAAATTAGCACAGCAGCTCACACACCCACCAACTCAACTCAACCCCATCCCACCGGTCTCTTTACACTGCCGATGTATTTAACGGTCGGTTAGTATGATCTACTCTCTTTAAATTTGATAGTTAACATATTCAAAGTAATTAACATACTTAAAAAATTTAATTGAAATTTCAAACTTAAGCTAAATTAATCAAATAAAATATAAATCAAAGAGATTCAAAATATATATAACATATTTTATAAATTCAAACTATCCTTTATCAAAGAGATTCAAACAATAAACTTAATTAGGTAGTAATCTAACCAAGACACTGTTTGATTTTGACCCCAACACACCTCACTTTTGTCTTTTCTCTCTTTGTTACTGTTTTTTCTTTATTGGCTATGGATCAAGTCCACTGAATTTGGCAGGATTTTATAGATTAGGGAATGGAAAGGTTTCCTTGGGCTCCAAGGGTGTGCATGTGAGATTTGACCACACATGTCACCTCTAATGTTTACATGGGTTACTCCTGGAAGAATAATTAGGGAAAATTTGAAAGTACGGGAAAAAAAATTTTAATGTGAGTAATTTGATAAGAATATTGATAGTCATTTGGTGAATTTATTTAAAATCGTCAGATAAATTTATTGTAATCTATCTTATTTTATATTATAGATGTTATGTACTTCACTTTTGTATATCATCTCACTTATACCATCTGATATGGTCACAATTATTGAGTAATTTATAAATTTTATAAGACCTACTAATCTAATAGTGTTTGTTGAGTTGGTACAGAAAAGTGATGTGTATAACATTGGTGTTCCTTAAAAATGTTATTGGAAGTATGCATATATTTACAATTTCTAAAATTAGATTCGACTTTCCGTATACAATTCCTTCCAAAACAAAAATTTGGGGTGAACTTTTAGAAAAAAAATTTGGGCCCAAAAAAAACAAAAGAAATTTCAAGAGTTATTTTTTATCATCGGATGATTATCGAATTAATCAAAGATGTTATTATGCTATATAAGAGTACTAGTTATTTCTCGTGTCTGAATGCACAGAGTAATAAAAAAAATGTTTTCCAATAATCACATTGGATTACCAAGCAATTTAGACCATTAAGATATTTTTTTAATATTTTTTGGAAAAATATTTTTTTAACAGTTTAATATCACTTTTGGTCCTTAAAGTATGTACAGTTTTGTTAGTTTAGTTCCCTAAATATCAATTTTATTCATTTGGTTCTTAAAGTATTCAATTTGTGTTTAAACGATTCCTATATAAACTAACTATTAAGTTTTTGAGAGAATAATTACGTGTTAGGTACGTAATATCGTCTAAAAAATGACACGTCGTCACTTTCGTAAAAAAACTTGAAGAATTGTCTCATTAGGAACTAAAGTGACACAAATTAAAATTTTAGAGATCAAATTAATAAAATTATTACTATAAAAATCAAGCTAATAAAACAGATATATTTTAAGGATTAAAAGTGTTATTAACTTTTTTTTTTTTTTTCATACGTCGGTGTTGAACTTCCAAGCATGCTTGGCTATTAGTAATTTGGTATCTGAAACGCCAAGATCCTTCAATATTAACGATAGGTACTGGCCAAGAAAATATAGGTTAATATCATTGACTTGCCCTCAACTATGACATAATTTTCTATTTTCCCCCCTCAATTTTCAAGTTTTCTCATTTTAATTTGTAAGTTCTATAAGTCGTAGCAATCATCATTTTTTTTTATTTTTTCTATCAAAACAAATAGAAAAATTCACGATACTCATTTAAATTTATCCACTAAACTTCTAATCTTTTGTTTTTATTTGTTTTAGAGGGTGAATTGCATTGAAAAGTTGATTGCTATAATTTATTAAATAGTAAATTGAAATAATCAAAAGTTGAGCTGCTTTTTAAAGCCAGCCCATAAGTCATGGCAACTGCAAAATTTACCATTGTGAAATTCCGTATAATACATTTTCTCTTTATTCTCTTCTTGTCGGATCATTTAACATACTTTCAAGTTTCAAGTGAGACCCATATGATCTGCTAAGAAAAAAAATTGAAGAAAAAATATATTTTAGGAGATTTGAATCCGTATTTACTTATCAAGATATTAATTGTAGCACACATTTAATTGGCCAACATGCCCATCCTCTTGTGCATGATTGCTAATGATATTAGGGGTTCTATGGTAATTTTAAGTACTTTTGAACGCATTAAAGCTATATGCATTACACACACACCTCACTTTTGTCTTTTCTCTCTTTATTACTTTTTGTCTTTATTGGCTTTGGATCAAGTCCACTGATTTTGGCAGGATTTTATAGATTAGGGAATGGAAAGGTTTACTTGGGCTCCAAGGGTGTGCATGTGAGATATGACTACACATGTCACCTCTAATGTTTATATGGGTCATTCCTTGAAGAATAATTAGGGTAAATTCGAAAGTACGGCGCAACGTAAATACGGAGTAGTGAATTTTGAGGGAGAAAAAAATTTTGATAAATAATTTTGAGAGAGATGTTAGTGACCGTTAAATGAATTTATTTAAAATCGTCGGATGAACTTATTAAAATTTATCTTATTTTATATTATAGATGTTATGTACACCACTTTTGTATATCATCTCACTTATACCATCTAACGTGGTCACAATTATTGAATATTTTATAAATTTTATAAGATCTACTAATCTAATGGTGGACGTTGAGGTGGTGCATAAAATGATGTGTATAACATTGGTGTTCCTTAAAATTTTTATTGGAAGTATGCATATATTTACAATTTCTAAAATTAGATTCGACTTTCCATATACAATTTCTTCCAAAAAGAAAATTTGAGATGAATTTTTAGAAAAAAAATTTGGGCAAAAAAAAAAAAAGAAGAAATTTCAAGGGTCATTTTTTTTATCATCGGATGAGTTTCGAATTAATCAAAGACGTTATTATACTTTATAGGGTTATATACATTAAAAAATGGTCTGTTAAAATCAAATAAAACTTGTGGTAAGCAAGTAGAGTAGTCAAGAATCATTTGGGGTGGTTCTGTCGTTTAATCTGACATTTGATAACCTAAAGTTTTTAGGTATAACACTTCTCGTACTCCTTAAAGGCTTGTCACCCTTATTTTTTAGGGCCTGTTCTAAACCCGCTTGGATTATGGTAACCAATATTTAAGCTTGAGAGAGTAATCGGTGTAAGCCTAAACACTTGTAAAAAAAAAAAATAAAAGAGTAGTCAAGGCAGAGTGGCAGATTAATTTTATTATAAATAAATAATTAATTAATTATATATATATATATATATAATAAAATAAGAGTGTGTTTGAATTTTATCTCAGTTATATTTTCTTCCTCAAAATCATCACCAATTATTTACCTCACTCATCATCCCTTTGTCAGACTCAAACGTCAAATCACACTACTTATTTCTACCACATATTTAATCATTTTTATCCTCTCTAAAAATATCACACTACTCATTTCTATCATATATTTAATCATTTAATATTTAATTAATTTGTAGTTAATATATTTTGAAAAAATTTAATATAGTAGAATTGATTTTTTGGACGCTCAAATTTTATATTTTATAGGCACGGATTATGACCGGTATATATATATATTTCTTTGTTTTTCATTCTTACCGTGTGTCCAGATGTGAGCTTTGCCCAAAACTAACATAAGTACTCCTAAAAGAATTGAATATGTTGAATTAAACCCACAACTTATTTCTTATAATTTTACTAATTATATTTGGACTTCATAATTTTTAATCTTTTAAATATTCAAAGTTAAGTAGACTACAAATAATTGAGTAAACAAACAAACAATACAAAAAAGCAGGAAAAAAATTGCTGAATAAAACAATGATAGTATAATTTTAAACCATATTGCTACTTTTTTTATCGAATTGTTGATATATATAACTTTTAATTTTTTAAGATAAAAATTGAGATAAAAAAATCTTTCGAGCTATAATATATCAACACCTCATATCTCTAGGGTGAACTTAAACATGAGTGTTGGCCTGCCCGGGCCAAGTCGTATGTAGAAAAGTGACCCATCTATCGGGTCGATCCTAATAATGACTTGCGGGACTTTTTGTCGTATGTGTAACTTGATCAAAATTGATAAAATTTGAATTAAAAAGAGTCAAGATGGTAGAGATAATGTTTCCTTTAACTCGTCAATCACCGGGGATAGGAACAAACACATTAGGAAAAACAGATATGGATATAAGATACGGATACGATAAAATTTTAAAAAATAGAATATAGGTATGATCAAGATATATCTCTAAAAACGTATATATTATATTTGTATTATTATGTAATGACTTGATAACTATAATTTTTAGTAATTATTTAATAACAATAAATAACATTAATATTTTTTTAAAAAAAGGGTACCTATTGTCTTACTATAATACATCTACAAAGTGAACATAATTAATTAAAAGAATAAGAAGTAACATTTTACTAAATTGTTTGTTACTAAGATTATAGTGTAATCAACTCATATGTATTCTTTGGATTTAGATATGTGATAGTGAATAATTCTCGAGTATCGTATTCAATATAGATATGTTGACCTTAACGAAGTATTCATATTTTTCATAGGCGAGAGATGACTACTTTTGCAACTCAATGAACAGGGTTGGTTGAGGATCTAGGCATGTTGAAAAATTACAAATTTGGTAAAAACAAAAATTGTTCTATTGTCTTCAATAATTCTTCTCCCTCACAGAATTATAAGCTCCTTAGCTCTCTCCCTCTCTCTCTCTCTCTCTCTCTCTCTGCATAATTTGTGGTTTTTCTCTAACACACACAAGTCTTGCTAAGTTGTCTTCCAACTTGCCAAATTTCTAATGCCTAGCAATATCCAAAACTATAGCATTTAATGAGAGCAGGAAGGGGGCGCCGTGGGGCATATAGCCCCCGAATGCCTCCGAACCGGGCAGTCCTCCAAGAAGACAGTTGCCTCCTTGCCTGTGTGTTTGGAGTCCTTCTTCATGATCATTACCTGTTCTAAATAAAATAATCAAGATTTTCTAAATCACATAAAGCTCCGCAGTAATTCTACCTGGAAGTCAGAACATCTCATCTTTGAAACATGTGAAGAAGACACAGTTTAACGAAGCAAAAACCATGAATATCTCCAATTCTCTTTACAACAATTCCGGAATTTGCAAAACAACTGTTTTTGTTCACACTCAATGCATCAAAAAAAGGCAACACTTTAAAATTCAAACAAAATATCATAGCGGGCTTCCGGCAAGGATAGTGAATGAAAATGTCTGTCTGTACTTTTCCAGCAATAGTCAACCAGCATATCCACATATTCCGAATTCTTGACTGTTCCGATTAATACTAGAACGACAATTTGTCCTCCGTATGCATTGCTCTTTCCAATTCGTTTAGCTCATTTACCAGATAATAAAGTGTCATCCCTCGAGGCTTCCAATTCTTGTTTTACCACATTAGTCCCTACATCCTCGAAGATATATCAAAAAACATTATTGGTTACCATGCATGTCAAAATATAAGTAACCTTATCAGAATCAATTGAGTAGGCTATAATAGCAATAAAAGGGGCAATCTATCAAAAATGCTTAGTCTAGACTAATAATGTTTAGGACCTCTGCTCACTGACACTCACATTGACACAGTCAATATGAATCAAAGTGAGAAAAAAGAAGAATTAACGATTAACGAAAATTGAGATCTTACTTTCTGGAAAAAAATTGTGCAACTTAAATTCTGATAAAAAAACATGATGAAACTTTAAGACTAGGCTGCATGACAGGCCTCTCGAGCCAGAGGATACTACCGAAGAAACCTGATGAAAACAAAGTATGACAACAAGCATAGAGGTCAGTATTACCATCCATGGTAGATGTAGAGAGGAGGCGAATAAATTTCTGGATTGGGAGATGATGTATATTTGAATATTAATTGTGCTGAGGGTCTTTTGAATGAGAGCAGCTTTCTCATAAACCATATATCACATTCCTCTGGATGCTTATAGTCTACAAGCATCTTCTCAAGTATTGGTGAACATGCAAGAAGAAGTTTGATAAATTCCAAATCCGATCTCCAGCATTGGATTTCTTCTTCCTCTGGGCCACAGACTGAGATGTTTATTTTCACAATTTGCAGCTGGTTGAAGCAGTAGGATAATTGGTTTTGCGTAGTCATTAACTTATAAACATCTTGCTGAAATGGTCCAGAAGCCTAAACAAACCAGTAAAAAAAGGTGAAATATTGAAAGAAAACAAATGTATGAGAAAACAGTGCAGAAACTTACTGAAAGGCTCAATGACTTCAAATTTGAGGAGCTTCTAAGAAGGGAGAGAAAAACCGAGATCTCATCCAATTCATCAAAATGGACTTCTGACAGTTCAAGAACCTTCAGATTGTCACATCCAACAGGAAAACCCTGTGCCGAAAAATAGGATCAAATGCATAAAAAGGAGCACAAAAGTAGGACGGTTTGGAACTAAAGGTGGCTACAGTACTATTTCATTGTCAAAAAAACAGAAGAATAGATTATGAATCAACAAATATTTGGTATTGCAAGGGATTTTTTTAAATTGTCAAGCTTCTCTCCTTGTGTGTTATCAGAAAACTAATTCTACTATATCTTGGGAGTCAAAAATAAGCAAATAGTTTTGGAAATCAAACAAAAAACACTAATGAAAGTCGATTTCACTTACCCTGAGAAGATGACCACACAAACTCAGCCTCTCCAAATGAGATACAAAACCAAGAAACGGCGCTGTATCATGAGCCATGTTCCAGTTTGCAGCCATCTTTAAGGAGAGTTCTGTAAGACGAAGGCTATGTTCCAGATGGATGCTCATGAATTTGCCTTCAATATGCAAGTATTTAAGATTTGGTGCACAGATATTAAGATAACCCAAGTCACCAACATCTGAAAGGCCAATGTCATCAAGATCTAAAAGTACTAATGCCTCAAGAATTGGGCAGCTACTAATCAAATTTTCAAGCACTGCACTGAGGACTCTACATCTTTGCAGCTGGAGGCTAACAAGATTGCTAAAGCCATTGAATGTGTGGGGCGTTATGACTGAGCAATCAGTGATGTACAAGCAACTCAGTTGTTGACAAGAAAATAAACTAGAAGGCAGCTCATACTCGTACATGTAATTAAAATCAAGAATGAGTTCCTTGATACCATTTCTGCTTAGAAAAGCAATCCAATAATCCACATCATTGCCATGACCAGCACACAGAGTGGAAAGCATAAACTTATCAATCTGGCCACGATGAGCTAACAAAACATTATATACAACTTTAGCAAGCTGATTCCATTCCTTATCCATATCCATGGAAGTAGTCGCCCCACAGCTATCATCCACTACAAGCTTGGAAAGATCAATCCATTTATATCTCCATTTTCTGGACAAGACACTTGTCCTCACGGCATCTTTAATTGGCAGGTGCCCTAGGATATTGTCTAATATATCCCAGGGCAGGTCACTAAGTCTATCCAACACTGTAGGGCAGTCCATTGTAGGTTCAGCAAAATCTCAATCCTACAGATGCTAGGGCAATAATCAACAACTACTCCATATATCTTCAACCACTAATTCAACTGGATTATATCTCTCACATGTCAGCTCCAGAATATGGCAAGCGCGCAACAGGGAAATCAAAGTCAGATCCTAGGATAACATCAGAAAAAAGCATTCAGAACAAGAAGGAAATGAAGACACCCAAAATTTTATAAAATAAGATTTCTATCTATATTATGGTGGACTGCATACTAGATATCCCGAACTTCATTGGAATCACTAAATAAATAACAAGTAAAACACGATGAACTGAAATGCATCAGGCTTACTTTGAAGTGATTCCCCCATAAGTAGGACCACTACCCAATAGCATGTTGCCACCAGATGCAGAATCTCGTATTTCTGTCCTAATTGTTCTAGAGCAACTAGAAATAGATTCTTTAACCAAAAAGAATTTGGTTCAGATGTAGCATACCTGTCCGTAAGTTTTCTCAACTCAATCATAGTTGAGGGAACATGGAGCCAAGCTTGAGAATAGAAAAAAAAATAGTTTTATTTCTTTATTACTTTTCTTATTAAAGCATCATCTAATCATGTATCATTGCATACTCATTTGAAAACCCAGGATTTGATATGAGCTACCTAAAATTTATAAACCAAACCAAGCCTTATTTCCCAATCACTACCTAAAATTTATACTTTCTTAATTTAAAATCACCCATATTTATCAGAAAATTAAACAAAGTATTGATATAAGCCATCAAAAATTTCTCTTTGCTTGATTGAAAGTGATCCTCTTACAAGAATTCTTTCATGATAGAACAAAAAAAATTGTGTACTGCAATGATAAACAGTGACAAGTTAGGATTTCATTATGGGTCTTAAAAGTATCAAAAAAACCCAAAAAAAAAAAACTCCAGCCGTACTGAACCCAATAATATACACAGAGATATGAAACAATAAGAGATGATGATGTAAATGAAACCCTGCTCACCTGTGATGAAGGCTGGGAATAAGTTCGATTTGTCTTTACAATCAAAGTAATGAACCCCCGAGGAGTCTGAGATGGGGCAATGATCACAAAGAGACGACCGAGAAGAAGAAAAAGTGACCAAAACTCAACTAAAATTGTTTCAAATTCTGTTCGGTAGGGAAAATTACACTTTGACTCGTCAACTATAACCCTTTTACCATGTCGCCTCACAATTATTATGTTTTTCATTTTGTATCACTAACTATGTGTTTAATTTCACATCGTACCAATTATTAACGTTTGTTATAAATTTGACAAAAAGTTATTTTATTTTACCACTCAAAGTATGTAATGGTTTTCAATCGCCTTGACATTTTCATCAAAAAAGACAATAGACATTTGTATTTGAAGCAACTTAAACTAATTGAAGAGATAATGTGAAAATTTAAAAAACTTAAGAGCTAAATTAAAATTAAATTTATAATTAAGAGGGTGAAAGTGTAATTTAATCCAATTATTATATATGCTAAACTTGACTAGCAATCCAAATTATAGAAAAATTTTAGCCCCGCTCTTTCTATTTTACAATATTTTTAAGGACACTCTTTTTATTTTTTAAATTTTTATTGATACTCCCTATCATAATAAAGATGTTAACTAAAATTTAATTTTACTAAATTATCCACAATATATTTTAGAAAATTTTTTATCAACACCCCCTTGAGATAGGCATATCTTCATTGAGACCATATCTATTTTTAAAATTTTTTTACATATTAAAACTCAAGCCGATTAAAATTTGATTTGAGGTAATTAAAATTCATTTTTTATGTATTAAAGTTTGAGTCGATCAAAAATTATATTTTTTTACGTATTAATTGAGCCAATTAAAAGTCAATTCGAACCGATTAAATCAAATCAAATTTTAATCAACTCGTATTGAATTTTAATTTGCCAGAATTTTAAAATAAAGAAAAAATAAATTTTAATTAACTTAAATTAAATTTTAATTGACTCAAATTTTAATAAGTAAAAAAAATATAAATTTTAATCCACTCGAAATAAATTTTAATCGGCGCTAACAGTTCAGTAGTAGAGTTGAAATAGGCTCGAACTTTAATACGTAAAAAAATAAAATTTATTCTGCTTGAATTGAATTTTAATTAACTCAAATTTTAATATATAAAAAAAATAAATTTTAATTAGCTCAAATTTTATATAGAAAGATTATTTGGAGTTTATGTAAGGATAATTTTGGTATTTTTGATGAATTTTTTCTTATTAGAAACGATGGTTTAGTGATAGAAGGTGTCTGTGATCTTTAAACATAAAGTAGATGGGAGTGTCAGTGATATTTTAAATAATAAAAGAAATATCTTTAAAAATATAGTAAATTAGAAGAGATGCGCCTAAAATTTTTTCTAAAATCTATATTTATATCTATACTACTATAAAATAAAAAACTTTAATTGACCATAATAGCATCAATAAAACAAGTAATGTCCATACTATCCTTTTAAGTTACAATTAACAACATTAATATTACACGTACCTTTTCATGTTCAAATTTATTCCTAATAAATACTAAATGCAGTTTTATCTCTAATCCAATAACTTATGCACCTGATTTGATTTTTAGACCCAACAATTATTGTAACTAACAAAAGTTTGAGATCCTACTACTACCATATCTAATTTAATTTTAGACCCTACAATTACCATAGATAATTTACTTTTAGACTTTATAGATTATTATAAGAGAAAATGACTATTCTTTTTAAAAACAATATAGTTCATGCATAAAATTGCACCTCTGCGTTGACCCCCTATTAATCTAAAATGTTCCCCCAATCTCCACTTGTTTGATAGCGTCTGATTCATGTTTGTGTAAAAGAATGATGGTAGTTGTTCGTGATTTCAATCCAAAGTATCATCCCTTCATTTGTTGGCTACAACTTAGAGAGCTACAGTAAGTAAGAAAGCCACACCGTCGCTAGTGCAATTGTAAGGATTTTTAGGGATAAACGAAGAAAAAGAATATGAAGAAAATTCAGTGAAAAGATACCAATTCGAGATATGGACGAGTCAATTTAGGGAGAGAGATGTTTACCATTTTCCAATAATTCCTATAAAATAGAACTACAAAGAGTCCGAGGATCAAAATTTATCCAATAAATAAGAGCAAAAATGTTGATCTTCTGGAACTAAAATTCAAATTGAACATAAAGATAAAAAATGAACTATTTCTCAACTCATTTCCTCTTTTTTTATAGGTATATTTTTATATTTCATTTCTCACTATTAGTGGAAAAAATATTCGCTACAATGGTGATACCACGTGATAATGCTAAAGAGGTATTGCCAACCAATAATATCAAAATAAATAAACAAATGAGCCCCACTAAAATTAATAATCAATCCTTCGTGTAAGTAAATAATTATTCTTTCTTTTTTCATATAAGCAAATAACTATTCGAGCGAGGTTTGCCTTATCCACTTGATATTTTCTTATTGATTTGTGATATCACGTGAGCATTGTTGACATAATATCACCATTGCATTCAATATTTACTCATCTTTCTCACTAAGGCTATTAATCAAACTGAGCTACTCAAACTCGACTTGTTTTGGGCTCGTTCGAATATGTTAAACAAGCCGAATATGAACATAATTTTAGGCTTGTTTATAAACGAGCCAAGCTCAAGCTTGAGTAGTTCGAATGACTTGATTAAGCTTGATATTTTTTTACCTAATTTTACTATTATTTTTACTGATCCATTTATAGTCATTCATTCCAAGCCTCTACATAGTCATTCATTCCAAGCCTCTACTGAGATCCAACGATGAGGAAAACATCTATATTAACTTGTCTAACCCTAATACACCCATACCCAATCTAAAGGCGCCGTCTACCTCTTGTCTGAAGCCCGAACCGAAGGCCTCGTATGCCTCTTATCGTTTGAAGACTAAAGACCTCATTGTCTAAAGCCGGTCTGCCTCTCATCGTTTCTTAGACTGAAACCCTCTCAGAGTACCTCTCGTCTGCCAAGGCTTGGTATACTTCACCTTCATCTGAGTTAATCTTTTTTTAGGTTGGATTGTTCGCAAGCTTGAATTCGAATTCTTGGGTCAAGTTTCATACCAGCTAGACCTCAGATTCGAGCTTGTTAACAGAAAACGAATATAATCAAACCAAACTTGAACTTTTCATTTTTTAGTCAAGCTGAGCTCGAGCTAAAAAAAAAGTTTGATGTTCGAGCTCAAGCCGAGCTTGAATACCTTCCCAAAATGTCAAGTCGAGCTTGAGCATGGTGATGCTCGTCGAGCTTGGCTCGATTATCTCCCCTATTTCTCACCCTCATATACATGCCCCTCTCTCTCATATACTATAATACTAGGCTACGACTACTATACTAGGAATATTAGTTCCATTCCTTTGTGTTCGACTAAAAACCACAAAAACACAGAGTCCCGTGGCCCACAAATCCAGCCGCATAGTCACTGAATTTGTGTTCATTTCCATTCCTTCGAATTTCGGTTCCAACAACCACCAATGATAACGTGAATCATTACAATCACTGCGAATGAGTATTGATAACAATTTGTGTTTTACTGCTTTGGTCTGGGTTTGTGTATAATATATGGTTTACACAAATTTTAGACATTTTTTTATGTCATGTATTTTTGTTAATTGATGCATACAGTAGTGAAAAGAACCCGATTGAAATTCATTAACGCCACCAAGAGTCATCACATTGTCATTGATTCTACGTTTGTGTCTCTGTCTCCACCCTTTTCTTTGTTTTTCTCCCTCGCTCAACTGTAAAACCACCCACCCCACCCAACAACCCCAACCCATAGTCCCCAACCACCTTTGCCCACAACCCCAACTGACCCAAACAGGACCGAGCCTTAGATTGAAGGGTTTTTTTTAATTCGCCTCTATTACCACTTCAACTATCCTTGAGATTATGAACAACTTTGATTGAGCACCTAGGCATGTGGAAAAAAGTACAAATTTGGT